CACGCCCAAATAATTTTTTATTTATTGTAGAGATGAGGTCTCACCAAGTTGCCCGGGTGGGTCTTGAACCCACGGGCTCAGTCAATCCACTCATCTCAGCCTCCCAAAGGCATGGGATTACAGGCTGAGCCACCAAACCTGGCTTCTTTTTGTTTTGATAGATGCATTGGAGGCTATCACTGTGTGTTCTTTTGTGGATGCAATATTTACTACATGCATAAACATGAATAATTATGAATATATTCAGTACATCATATATACATGAAAGAAAAACTATCCATGCCCTTGGATCTCCAAGCTCCCCGCCTCTCAGTCTCTTAACTCCAGTAGCAGGGAGACAAATTGGGCATTCCTTAAAATGCTGTTATGAAGACAAGGAAAGAAGGTGAACTAAAGCTAAGTAGTTAAAAGAAACAAGTAAATGTGATGAATTGATGACTCAGTGAATTGGCTCTTCAGAATGGATTTTGTGTGCATTGACCTGGATCTGTGCTTGACTTCTCCAAAAGAGAAACCTCAGGTCATCTTAGGTACCCGCCCCCTGCTCAGCATGGGACAGGGCTACCTGGGGCCCCTGGAACCGCAAAGTCTACTTTTCTAGAAGTATATTTGTCTCTTACTGTCTTACATCTTTTATCCCATTCTCTGTCTTTCTGGGTTGATACTTGTTTAAAATTCCTTTACTGTATTTACACTGGAGTCGTAGAAGGGCAAGGGGATAAGCTTGTGCTATCAGTCCGCCACTTGTGGTTGGTCACACTTACTTTAAAATCCCTTTCTGTTTGTTTATAAACTTAAGTTTCCTTGGGTGCTAGTTCTGTTTGTTGATTCTGGTGACTCTCCTGCGAAGTTGGCTTTCTTCATATCTTTTCTTTATTCTTTTCTATCCCTGATGATAATTTTTATATCCTATTGTATATTTCTCTTCCTCTAATGGTTAACTTACTAAAAGTTTAGAGCCACTATCTATCAACATCAAAAATAAAACAATCATCCTCGCTGGGCTCGGTGGCTCAGCCTGTAATCCTGCGCTTTGAGAGGCTGAGGTGAGTGGGTTCGAGACCTGCCTGGGCAACTTGGCGAGACCTCATCTCTACAATAAGTCAAAAAATTAACCAGGTGTGGTATTGCGCGCCTGTAGTTCCAGCTACTTGGAAGGCTGAGACGGAAGGATCGCCGGAGCCCAGCAAGTCGAGGCTGTGGTGGCCGGGAGTGGCCACTGCACTCCAGTCTGGGTGACAGAGTGAAACTCCAACTCAAAAAAAAAAAAAGAAATCCTCCTCACCTACTCAAGACCAGAGGTTTTGTGTGAGTTTTGTTCCCCAATTCTAAGATGTATTTCCTCAATTTTAAGAATCATTTTATATCAATTGCATTAAATTTCACAACCACATTATTAACACTTGTTAAAATATGCCTTGCCTGGTGCTGTGGCTCATGCCTGTAATCCCAGCACTTTGGGAGGCAGAGGTGAGAGGATTGCCTGAGCCCAGGGGTTTGACACCAGCCTGGGCAACTTGGCGAGACCTCGTCTCTACAGTTAGTCAAAAAATTAGCCAGGTGTGGTGGCACGTGCCTGTAGTTCCAGCTACTTGGAAGGCTAAAGCAGAAGAATTGCCTGAGCCCAGCAGTTCGAGGCTGTGGTGGCTGTGAGCATGCTACTGCACTCCAGCCTGGGAGGCAGAGTGAGACTCCAACTAAAAAAAACAAAAAACAAACTGTTAACTTGATCTAGATTCATTGCTTACTACTATTTCTTACTTTCCCCTAAAAAGAAAAAAAGCTGCCTTAGATTCTGGAACAAGGTGGAGGGTAAATAAATAAATGAATGAATGGGTGAGTGGGCAGATAGATGGATGATAGATAATTCATTTTGCTTTCTCCTCACAGTCCCCTGCTGGGCTTTCTGTCAGAACGTGTACATCATGGTCTTTCCATTATCTGCTTTGCATGTCAGTCCCTCCCACCCCTCTGAGTGTTTGCTCTCTCACCTATGTATAAAATAGAAGATGAGCCGGGCTCGGTGGCTCAGCCTGTAATCCCGCGCCTTTGGGAGGCTGAGGTGAGTGGATTGCCTGAGCTCGCGGGTTCGAGACCCGCCTGGGTGGCGAGACCTCATCTCTACAATAAATCAAAAAATCAGCCGGGCATGGTAGCACGCGCCTGGAATTCCGGCTACTTGGAAGGCTGAGGCGGAAGGATCGCCGGAGCCCAGCAGGTCGAGGCTGCGGTGGCCAGGAGCCGCCACTGCAGTCCAGTCTGGGTGACAAAGTGAGACTCTAACTCAAAAAAAAAACCAAAACAGACAAAATAAATAAATAAAATAAAATAGAAGACGTAGTAGGGGTGATCTATAAGGTGTTAGGGAGAATGACCTGCCCCTTCACTGGCTCATAGCAGCCCAAGCCAGCACCTCCTTTCTAGCTCCACCCACAGAAGCAAGTGCCACCCTTCCTCACCCTTAGCCCCTGGGTCTCCCCACTTCCTTCAGAGGAATCACTTAGCTCCCCTGAAACTCTTTTCAGCCCTAGTTGGTCTTCTCCAGCTAAGAGCCCACACCCCCTGTGAGCCTCCAATGTCACAGGGTTTGACCTGCAGTTAATATCTTGGTGGCAGGGACAGGTGGTGGGCAGATATGAGCTAGAGTTCTGCACAGTGTCAGAAGCCCCTGGGAGCTGAGATAGACCTGAGAGCTGAGCCTGAAGTTGGGTGGGCACCAAGCAGGCAGTGATGTTTGCTGAGGGAAAAGTTCCGGTGGGAAACCAAATGAATGAGTGAGGCAATAGCTAAATAAATGGAAGAATTAATGATTGGAAGATGCATAAATTAATGACTGAATGGAAGGACAAATTAATGAAAAATGGAGGTGTGAATTTAAAAATTAATGAGTGAGAGAATGAATGAGTAGTTGAATGGGGAAACAAGTGATTGAGGAAACTGGCAACTGTGGGTTGCAGGTTTCTGGGAGGATTGACTTTGTTCCAACTCCCTCATCTCTTTTCTCTACCCCCAGTGTCCTCTATTTCTCCATCCACCGCTATGAGCAGGGTCGGTTCTGGCCCCACCTTCAGGCCTCTAACTGGTCCACCACAGGTTTTGGCCAAGGCCAAGGATATACCATTAATGTGCCTTGGAACCAGGTCAGCATCTGCTTACCCTCTGCCCCCAAGTGAAATCCAGCCCCACTCTTCTGCCACCTCGGGGCAGGTGGCTGAACATCCCCCATCATGCCTCTATGTCTGCAGGTGGGGATGCGGGATGCCGACTACATTGCCGCTTTCCTGCACATCCTGCTGCCAGTCGCTCTTGAGGTCCTGAGGGTCTGGGGTGTGTTGGGGAAGGGGTGATGTTGATGGATGGGCCGTGAAGGCAAGTAGCCTCATGTAGTCCGTTCCCCCCTCAGTTCCAGCCTCAGCTGGTCCTGGTGGCTGCTGGATTTGATGCCCTCCAAGGAGACCCCAAGGTAAGGCGGGCTCCTTGGGGTGGCCAGTGGACAGAAGGGGCTGCATGCAGCCAGGCTGACCTGCCATGTTTCCCCAGGGTGAGATGGCTGCCACTCCGGCGGGATTCGCCCAACTAACCCACCTGCTCATGGGTTTGGCGGGAGGCAAGCTGATCCTGTCTCTGGAGGTGAGTGACTCACCTATGTCTCAGCCTGTGGATCCTGGAGGACTTAAGGACACAGCTTACAAGTCCACCAGGAGTTCCTGGTCCAGCATGTCACTAACCAGCGGGACAACCTTGCATAGGTCACTTCACTTCTTTGTGCCTTTGCTTTCCTTCTCTAAAATGGGCATAATAATAACGGTAATCACCTCATATTGTTCAGTGAGTTAAATGAGGGTACCCTCTAAGTTCCTTGTTGCTTGACACATAGTATGCACCCTGGTATCGTTGCTGTTATTATTATTGTGGTCATTATTCTTTCCTGGTAACATCCGGTCCTTTTCTGACCCCCCTAACAATTCCTCTCCTCAGGGTGGCTACAATCTCCGCTCCCTGGCTGAGGGTGTCAGTGCCTCGCTCCATACTCTTCTGGGAGACCCCTGTCCGATGCTGGAGTCCCCTGGTGCCCCCTGCCTGAGGTGAGTCCAGGTGGTAGAGGGGAAAAGTGAGAGACTCACTGCCTACCCAGGGGCTATTGCATCACGTTTTCTTCTGCCCTCTAGTGCCCAGGCTTCACTCTCCTGTACTCTGGAAGCCCTCGAGCCCTTCTGGGAGGTCCTTGTGAGACCAGGTAGGAAATGGGGAACCAGCTTGGTGGGGGTTGGGCATGGAACCTACTGATGGGGAGATTCTGTTCCAGAACCCCTCTGACTTTCCTGGGCCGCCGTGGTGAGGGAGGGTCAGGCCCGCTGTTTCCCTGGGCCCTGGTTTCAGGCCTCACACTCCTTGTTCTGTTTGGGTCACCTGAGTTCCAGAGTATGATGGAGATCAAGATTGAAAGGGTAGGATGACCGTGACTTCCCTTTGTAGCTGAAACTCTAGAGGAAGACAACATGGAAGAGGACAACACAGAGGAAAACGAAGAGGAAGGACCTTGGGAGCCCCCTGTACTCCCAATCCTGACATGGCCGGTGCTGCAGGCTCGCACGGGACTGGTCTATGACCAACGGATGATGAGTCACTGCAACTTATGGGACAGGTATGTAGTCAGAGGGCTGGATAAGTGGGTGTGGGATCCTTCCCCTCAGGCACTAAGCCCCTACCTCTCTTTTGCCCTCACTGCTAGCCACCACCCCGAAATGCCCCAGCGCATCTCACGGATCATGTACCGTCTGGAGGAGCTGAGCCTTGCCAGGCGCTGCCTCACCCTGCCTGTGCGCCCTGCCACAGACTCCGAGCTGCTCACCTGCCACAGGTCAGACCCCCCATGCCTGGGGTGGGTGGGCTCCCCGGGCTGTGGGTGGAGCCTCGGGGGCTAAAGCCTGAGGTTTCTATCCCTGGTGTGTGGAGCTGCTGTGGGACTGGAGAGGGGCCCAAGTTCCTATCTCAGGGGCGGGGCCCAGGGACAGGATGGAGCTTCCTCAGAGTCCGCTGGGCACTCCTCTCTGTGCCTGCAGTGCTGAGTACTTGGGTCGCCTCCGGGCCACGGAGAAGATGAAAACCCGGGAGCTGCACCGTGAGAGCTCCAACTTTGACTCCATCTACATCTGCCCCAGCACCTTTGCCTGTGCGCAGCTGGCTACTGGTGCTGTCTGCCGCCTGGTGGAGGCTGTGCTTGCAGGAGAGGTGCGCCCTCTTTGGGATGGGGCATTGGGCTGGGGAGGGGAGGTCCCGGGGGGCTGGGAAGAGATGGCTGTCTGCTGCTTATAGAGGCTCTGAGAGAGTCAGGCAGAGCCTGAGGAAAGGGGCCATGGAGAGGGGCACGGGGGAGCTAGCAACCTGGGGAGTCTTGGAGGGCGCAGGAAAGTGAGAAAAGAAGAAAGGGGAGAGCCAGCATGAGAGCAGGCAGTCCTGTCTTAGCTCCCCGCTCCTCCCCAGGTTTTGAATGGTGTTGCTGTGGTGCGCCCCCCAGGACACCATGCTGAGCTGGATGCAGCTTGCGGTTTCTGCTTTTTCAACTCTGTGGCTGTGGCTGCTCGCCATGCCCAGGCCATTAGTGGGCGTGCCCTGCGGTAAGGGCACCCTGGGGGCCCCCAAATCCTGAACCTTGTGGGGACCTGGATGCTCCCTCCCAGCCCAGTACTTACTCAGCAGGCCTAGTAGTATAGCCCCCAGGACTTCCCCAGAAACAAGCAAGGGCCCAATAGCCCAACACTTCCCCAGAAAAGGACCAAGAATGGAGCCTCAGTGCTTATCCAGATAGGAACCCCGGATTGTGGCACCTGGGCACTTATAAGACAGGATCCAGGGCTCCCACCCAGCATTTCTGGCCTCTAACAGCTGTCCCAACAGCACCCAGGTCCAAGCCCTCATTCCAAAAGACCCAGGATCTATCCCCTGGCAGTAGCTGCCCAGGACTCAGGGTCCAGTTCCCTAGTAATTACCCAGAAGAGCCCAGGGTCCAGCTCCATGCACTTGCTCAGGCCTATAGGGAAGCTCTCAGGACCCCAGATCAGGCTTTTATCCTTAACTAATAGGACCTAGAAGCCTGATGCCCAGCACTTTCCCAGGAGCCTCAGGGTCCTGCTACCCCGCTGTAAATGCCCTCGCAGACTCCAGGAGTCTAGCCCCAGCCCTATTCCAGGGAGAGAGTATTCTAGGTTACTGAGGAGCTCTGCCTTCCCCAGGATCCTAATTGTGGACTGGGACATCCATCATGGTAATGGAACTCAGCACATGTTTGAGGATGACCCCAGGTAAGGGACTGGGGTCAGGACCAAGGGTGTGGTCAGGGAGGTGGGCGAGGTATGTCTCAGGGGTGCCAGGGCCCTAACCAGCCACGGCCGCTTTCCACTCCATCCCTGGCAGTGTCCTATACGTGTCCTTGCACCGCTATGACCATGGAACCTTCTTCCCCATGGGGGATGAGGGCTCTAGCAGCCAGATGGGCCGGGCTGCGGGCACGGGCTTCACTGTCAACGTGGCCTGGAATGGGCCCCGCATGGGTGATGCTGACTACCTGGCTGCCTGGCATCGACTGGTGCTTCCTATTGCCTATGAGGTATGGCCCAGGAAGTATGTAATATGCCTGTGCGAGTGGCAGCATGTGCCTGCCTCCTCAGCATGTGTGCATCTGACTGCTGGGTTGACTATAGTGACAGCTCTCGGGGCAGGGCAGGGGTTGACTGTGATGGCTTTGCATATTTGTGCACAAGTGGCTGTATGTGACTGCCTTCTCTGCGTGATGTTGTATGTGTGAGCCACTGTCTTGGTTGTGTGTGTGATGACCTCTGTGGTAGCTGTATGTGTCTTGGCTGAATCTGTGTCCCATGAGTGCCTGTCTGGATATGAGGGTGGTCACAGGTAATGCCATCCCTGTGGAACTGCATGTGCAAGGGAGGGATTTGAGTATATGTGTGCATTTCCACACAGATGGCTGCTTGTCACCACCTTTTCTCTGTGATGGATATGATAATGTATGTCACTGTATGCAGCCATCTCTGTGTGGGCCTGTGTGGACCCCTCTGGACATGGACATGGACAGCTCTGTCTAGCTGTCTGCCCTGGCTATGTGTGTGTGTGTCTATATGACTGGAAAATGATCTGAATGTGACCACGTTCCCTGCGTGTGAGCTAGGGAAGCTGGTGGTGTACATGGTTGACTCTGTAAGGGTGTAGAAGCATGAGCGCCACTCTGTCCCTGGGTGCGGGTGTGTGCCTTCAGATCTGCATGTGTGTCTGATATGCATGGGCAGCCAGGACAGCCTTCTGTATGTGTACAGCTGTGTGTGCAAGTGACCACCTCCTGTGATCACAAGAGCACATGTGACCATTGGGACTTTGTGGTGATGGCATGCATATGATTGTGACTGTACAGGGTAGCTGTGGATTCTTATTCCCTCTGAGAAACTGCTTATGTGTGCATAACTATTGTGGATGTGTAGTCCTGGTCTGTATGGGACTGTCTGATTGTGCGGAGGTGTGTGTGGCTATATGTGACTGTCTTCTCTGTGTGTGGCACTTGCATTGTCATCCTGTGTTGTAGAAGTGTGCTTGTGCCTCCCTTTGTCACTGTATATATAAAAACCCTGTATCTTGTGCATGTGTGTCCCACATTTGATCCTGGGATGCCTGTGTGTGAGGACATGTCTCTGTTTCTTTTGTCACTGTCTTCTGATATCTGAGTCTCCATGTCTCCTATCTCATGTGCCCATGTGTCCATTTCTCGGTCTCCATGTAAGTTGGTGTCTCTGTTTCTACTATCTCCAAGTCTCTACTTTTTGTGTTTCCGTCTTCCCCTCCTTATTTTCAGATCACTGGTCTCGTGTCCCTGTCTCTCTGACTTGCATCTCTATGTCTTCATTTGTCCTTGTCTCCATTACCTACTACCTACTGAAGCCCCCACCCTCATGCCTATGCATTTCTTCTCTCCCTGTCTCAGTTTAACCCAGAACTGGTGCTGGTCTCAGCTGGCTTTGATGCTGCACGGGGGGACCCGCTGGGGGGCTGCCAGGTGTCACCTGAGGGTTATGCCCACCTCACCCACCTGCTGATGGGCCTTGCCAATGGCCGCATTATCCTTATCCTGGAGGTAACTCTCTCTCAGTCCCTCTTCCTACACTGGGAAGGTAGACTGGAAGAGTTGGCTGCATCACTTGGGGCAGTTTCCTAAAATCTTTTCCTAAAATCTCCTTTAAGTGTCCCTGCCTGGGATTGTTGGATTGTTAGCACATAATGGGTATTAATGACAACAATAACACCAATATTAACAGCTTTAACTGAGTGCTCACTGTGTGCCAAGCACTCTTCTCAGCACTTTATGTGTATTATTCATTCATTCACTTGGCAAAGCAGCATTTTGAGGTAGGTGCTTACCTTGTTATTTTCCTCTCTGAAGATCAAGGAAACCAGTATTGACTAGCCTGAGGTCATACATTTACTAATGGCAGAGCCAGGGCTTGAACCCATGCAGCCTGGCTCCAGGGTCTGTGCTTTTATTACTACCTGAACTGCCTCTAACAAGTTCCTGGGACAAAGGAAATTCACTGACCTTTCATAAATGACTCAGTGTCCCTACTCCCTGTGTCTCAGTTTCCTCATCTATAAGACGGGGCAGGCTAATCACGGAGGAGTACCTGGCATGTGGTAAGCGCTGTGTAAATGCTGGATCATGTTACTACTATGCATTGTACAGACATTATTTTAACCCCTCAGCAACCTTCTGTGCTGGTACTTTCACTGCTTTACAGATGAGGAAAGTAAGTCACAGAGAAGTTAATTGGTTTGCCAGAAGTCCCATTTGTAGTGTGCCCAGGACTACTTGTGGCAGGGCATGTGGTAGTTAGGAACATGGATGATTTTGTCACATAGCCAAGCTTCAAACCCCAGTGCTGACTCTTCAGCTGTTGTGACCTCAGACAAGTCATCTAACTATTCTGTGCCTCGGTTTCTTTATCTGTAAAAAGAATACAGACTGGGGTTCCTATAGAGGCAAAGAAGGTTAGGACAGGGGTTTGTGTAGAGAGAAAGGCCAGTTGTTCTTGTACTAAGGTCAGGGCAGGGGCTTTTGTATGGGTTCACAGTGGGCGTCTTGTGCAGGTCAGGTCAATGGTTACTGTATGGTGTGAGGCCAGGGGTTCCTAGACAGTGTGAAGATGGATTTCTCTATGACTTGAAGGCAAGTTTCTGTATAGATTTACCATTTAGCACCTGTGGTTGTGAGGACTAAGTGAGTCACTATGCATGAAGTACTTAAAATAGGGTCTGGCACACAGCAAACACAATAAATGTCTGCTATCATCAGTACTGTTATCTTGCACTTTATATCATAATTCACATCCCTCTCCCCACTCCCAACCGCTACCTCACACAATGGGTGCTGCCCATCTTACAGATGTGGGTTCTGTTCACTAGTTCCCAATATTCCCTTCCTCACTCTAGACTCTGCTGGCTTGCAGGGCTGGGGGGATGGGATTGGGAAGGCAGGGTATCTTGTCCTCCAAATTCCCTGATGAGTACCCATCATACCTTTTGCTCCCCTTTTCCTTTACAAAGGGTGGCTATAACCTGACATCCATCTCAGAGTCCATGGCTGCCTGCACCCGCTCCCTTCTTGGAGACCCGCCACCCCTGCTGGCCCTGCCACGGCCCCCACTATCAGGGGCCCTGTCCTCTATCACTGAGACCATTCAAGTCCATCGCAGATACTGGCGCAGCTTGCGGGTCATAAGTGAGTGGACGTGGGAAATTGGGGTAATGGGGAGACTCAGTGAAACAGGGAACTGGGGGCAGGGATTAAGGCAGGAAAGGGGATAGCACCCACATTAAAGGATCTCCCTCCCTGATTCCAGAGGTAGAAGACAAGGAGGGACCCTCCAGTTCTAAGTCAGTCACCAAAAAGGCATCCCAGCCATTCAGTCCTGGGTCAGCTGAGAGGATGACTGCACCAGAAAAGAATGGTGTGGAAGCAGGCATAGGGAAGGCCATCTCAGCATTATCTGGGGAAGAGTCTACTCCAGACCAGACTAAGTCAAAGACAGCTGTGGTGGCACTCACTCAGGACCAGTCCTCAGAGCCAGCCAGTGGAGGAGCCATGCTGGCCCAGACCACTTTGGAGGCATCCGCGGGGGGAGCCATGCTGGGCCAGACCACCTCGGAGGAGGCTATGGGGGGAGCCAATCTGGATCAGACCACCTCAGTGGAGACTGTGGGAGGAGCCACACTGGGCCAGACCACCTCAGTCGATGCTGTTGGGGGAGCCATGCTGGACCAGACTACTTCAGAGGAAGCTGTAGGAGGAGCTACACTGGCCCAGACCACCTCAGAGGCAGCCATGGAGGAAGCCACACTGGACCAGACCACCTCAGAGAAGGCTATGGGGGGCACCGAGCTGATCCAAACTCCTCTAGCCTCATGCTCAGAAAATCAGACCTCCTCAACCTCGCCTATGCAAGGGGCCACACCCCAGATATCCCCCAGTAAGCTGATTGGGACTCTCAGGATCTTGGAACAACGCAGCAAATCTCAGGTAAGGCCCACCACACCCAGGTAGTGGGGAAGAGCAAGCAAGAGTTGAGCCTCCCTGATACATCTTTTGCTTCTGTGTGTCCAGGAGGCCCCAGAAGAGAAGAGCCCACTAGGAGAGGCAGCTGGAGGTCAGGACATGGATGGTTCTATGCGGATACAGGGATTTGGGGACCTTGCTGACACTGATCAGGTGAGCTCAAGGAGAGGCTGAGACCGTAGCTTCCTGCTTTTGCCCATTTGTGTCTCCAGGGAGGAGCATGTTTGTAGTAACATGTAATGGAGATATGAGGTCCCCAACTTACCCAGTTTCGCCTACCCACCCCAGGCCATGTTTTATGCTGTGACACCACTTCCCTGGTGTCCCCATTTGGTGGCAGTATGCCCCATACCTGCAGCAGGCCTGGATGTGACCCAACCTTGTGGGGACTGTGGAACACTTCAGGAGAATTGGGTGTGTCTGTCTTGCTATCAGGTACGGAGCAGAGGAAGGGCATGGGGTGGATGTTGGCCCGGGAGAAAGCCACAGCTGGGGGTTGACCCCCACCTGACACTCACACCCCAACCTCAGGTCTACTGCGGTCGTTACATCAATGCCCATATGCTCCAACACCACCAAGACTCTGGACACCCACTGGTTCTCAGCTACGTCGACCTGTCCGCCTGGTGTTACCACTGTCAGGCCTATGTCCACCACCAGGTGGGCCCCGGGTAGACCCTTTAACGTGTGCACACTCACCCCCACACAGACACCCTTTCTGTGATTGGGTTAGGGGAGAACGCAGATCCTTCTGCATGATTATATTGCGCGGTGCAGGGGCTGCGGGACAGTCCAGGAGACAGAGTGGTTGAGGGCTGGAGTGGGGACAGCCTCCTGGCTGAGGTAGAGTCCTCGCTCTCTCTCACCGACCCTGTTCTTGCCTCCTCCTCAGGCTCTTCTAGATGTGAAGAACGTCGCCCACCAGAACAAGTTTGGGGAGGCCATGCCCCACCCACACTAAACCCCAGAATGTGCTCCCTCTTCTCTACCTTCTGAGGCCCAAGATAGACCAGCTGTAGTTCATTCCAACCTGTACCTTGGATGAGGGGTAGCCTCTCACTCCAGCCCATCATGAATATCCTTTGCAACTTCCCAAGGGTGCTTATTTAAGTGTAAATATGTCTAAGAGGACTACATGATCAGTTGCGAATCTCCCCCTCCCAACTGCGTGCTTGAGGAACAGCACTCCTCCACCCACCCAGAAGGAAGGGAAAGCAGCTCAGTGGCCCCAAGAGGGAGCTGATACCACAAGGGTAATATTGGAGGGAGGCGGGGTCCACTGGCAGGTATGGCAGGGTTGCATATGTAATAAAGTACAAGCTGTTACACAACCTGGAGAAAGCCTTTTGACTTTGAATTAGGTGGGGACTCCACATCCCTGGCCAGCAAGGCCAATGAATAATGGAGTGAGGGAGTGGATCTTCATCAGGTCAACTCTCTGCCCATCCATTGCCCAAAAAAACTAACTGAAAATAGAGCAGGCAGCTTAACTGGCTCCACTGGAATTAAATGGCAGACTCCATGAGAAAACAGGTGCTTGTGTTAGAAATAGGGGCCTCACAGCCAGTCCCAGCCATACCTTAGGTTGAGAAGACAAGTAGCAGGAAATATCCCTAGCGGGCTTCAGTTTCCCCATCTATCTCATTGGCCTGATGGGGGTGTATGGGGAGAGGGTCCAAGTTTAACTTGGATGTGGTCATGGGTAGCTTCCTGGCGGGGAGGAAGGTGGGAAATCGGAGGACAGTTTCGAAGTTCTCACAGGAGTCAAGGCTGAGGTCTCCCAAGCTGACCACCAGAACCCACCCGGTCAAGATGAGGACCGCTGAGGGTCTGCAGGGCTTCAGCCAGCCCTCTTTTAAAAGCCCTCAGTTGTCTAGGAGCTGGCCATAAAATTTTTTTTAAAAGCCCTCTGGATGCCCCCATCCAGTTCTCCCTGCTTATAGCTCATTGGTCAGAGCTGTGTCATGTGGCTGTCATAGCTGCAAGGGAGTCTGGGAAAGTCTCAGCTCAGCAGACATTCAAGTTCTTTCTGCTGCACAGAATCACCCCTCCCCGCAACTCTCCCTCCAGGAGCAGACGCGAGCCTCTCTGGAGCGGCCAAAACGCCGGCTGAGGCGGTACAGGCAGCAAGGCCTGCAAGATATCCTCACAAAAGGCTGCCAGAGCCTGACCATCCAGGTCAAAGTCGGACACACACACACACACACACACACACAAAACCGGCAGAAAATCCCATCCCAGGCAGAGGCGACTAGAGGTCCGGCCGCCCGCCGCGCACCCTGAGGCTCCCA